ATACTTACCCTAGAAGAAAGTCTACATGTGTGCGCAAAGAGACACGCCCAACAATGCATGCTGTGGCACAGTTTTCAGCAAACTGAAAACCTCCTAAATGTCAACCAAGAGGTGAATGGGCAAGTAAACACTGTCCAACGAAACTTTCTGTGCTGGTGGAAATGTCCCCCATCCGTGCTGTCCAACACGGGAGCCGCTAGCCACAGGTGCTTGCTGGACACGCGAGATGCAGCTAGTGCGACTGAAGAATTAAATTTTCCATTTTATTTAATTTTGTCTGATTTTTTCTTTTTTTTTCTTTTTCTTTTTTTTTTTTTTTTTTTTTTTTTGAGACAGAGTCTCACTCTGTCACCCAGGCTAGAGTGCAATGGCATCATCCTAGCTCACTGCAGCCTCCAACTCCTGGGCTCAAGCGATCCCCCTGCCTCAGACTCCTGCGTGGCTGGGACTACAGGCACACGCCACCACACCTGGCTTACTTTTCTTTTTTCTATAGAGACAGGGTCTAGCTCTTGCCCCGGCTGGTCTCAAACACCTGGCCTCAAGCAATCCTCCTACCTCGGCCTCCCAAAGTGCTGAGATTACGGGTGTGAGCTGCTGCACCCCAGCCTAATTTTAATCTTAATAGCCACATGGGGCCAGTGGCTACCTTATCAGACAGCACGGCAGATATCGCAATGAAAATAAGTGAATTAGAGCCACATACATGTTTCAACATATAAAAATCTCAAAAGCAATTTTTTGGGTAATAAAAGCAAATTTCAGAAAGCAGGACCTAGTGCCAACCTAGTGCCAGCTCTGCCAGGATAAATGCAATGTGATATTGCTATCAGATCACCGCCAGGTTTAATGACTCGCGGGATCTAGCATATAGGTGTACACATTGCTACGATGTATTATAGTGAGGGACACAAAGTATAATCGGCAAAGGGAAAAGGTGTGTGGGGTGAAGTCCAGAGGAAACCAAGCGAAAGCTTCCAAAAGTCCTCTCCTAGTGCAGTCACACACAGAACATGCTTCATGTCTACAGCAGAGTTATGACAACACGTGTGACATGCTGTCTACCAGGGAAGCTCATTAGAAACTCAGTGACCAGGGTGTTTACCGGGGACTGGTCATGTACCCAAATCCCAGACTCTAGCAAGAAAGCAGCACAATCAAAAACCAGCCTAAGGCCGGGCGCGGTGGCTCACGCCTGTAATCCTAACAGTCTGGGAGGCCGAGGCGGGCGGATTGCTCAAGGTCATGAGTTCGAAACCAGCCTGAGCAAGAGTGAGACCCCCGTCTCTACTAAAAAATAGAAAGAAATTAATTAGCCAACTAAAAATATATAGAAAAAGTAGCCGGGTGCGGTGGCACTTGCCTGTAGTCCCAGCTACTCGGGAGGCTGAGGCAAAAGGACCGCTTGAGCCCAGGAGTTTGAGGTTGCTGTGAGCTAGGCTGACGCCACGGCACTCACTCTAGCCCGGGCAACAGAGTGAGACTCTGTCTCAAAAAAAAAAAAAAAAAAAAAAAATCAGCCTAAGTACAGATTGTCGTATGTGCTACTAATAAAACATGGCGAGTGATTAAGGAGGGGCTATTTTAAATAGGGGGGTCTGGGCAGGCTTCTTTCAGAGGGACATTTGAGCTGAAGCACACACGATGAGAATGAGACAAGCTTGCAGTTATCTGGGGGAGGCACATTCGGGCCGAGGGAACAGCAAGTGCAAAGCCCTGCAGCAGGAATAAGTTCGGCGTGTTGAAAGACAGGAAATAAAGCCAGCAAGGGCTCGAGAGTGGTGACAAGAGGGAGACTGGTAGGTGAGGCCTGAGAGGTCAGCGGAGGCCACTGTGCAGGGCCTTCTAAGCCATAGTAAAGATCTTAGGTTTCATTCTAAGCAGGATAAGCCTTTGAAGGTTTTAAGTGTGAGCGGGTTTACAAGCGAAGATCACTCGGCCAGCTGTACGGAGACTGCGCCATAGACAGGGCCACTTTCTCCATTAGCACCACACAAATAATGCTCATGGCTGATGAGCTTTTCAGGGGCTATGACAAGTTTGGGGCCAGGGATACAGGGGAAAACAGTCCCTCAATGCCCAAACACTACGTAGTTCAAATGAAGACATGCTTAATTAAACGTCTAGAAAAACGTAACATCGTGGCAACTGCATTCACCGTTGCATTTAGTATTCATAAATAATCGAATTACATTTGGAAATAATTTGAAACTTAGATTTTCTCGAATCCCCCAAATCCCCAAGTATGCCAGTGACTGCCAAGAAATCAAGCCAATCATAAATGGGAATTTCACTGAAGCCAAATAATTTCGGATAGAAAAAAAAAAACAACAAAAACTTTCAGGCCTGGCGAGGTGGCTCACGCCTGTAATCCTAGCACTCTGGGAGGCCGAGGCGGGCGGATTGCTGGAGGTCAGGAGTTCGAAACCAGCCTGAGCAAGAGTGAGACCCCCATCTCTACTATAAATAGAAATGAATTGGCCAACTAATATATATATATATATATATATATAATTAGCCGGGCGCGGTGGCTCACGCCTGTAATCCTAGCACTCTGGGAGGCTGAGGCGGGTGGATCGCTCGAGGTCAGGAGTTCAAAACCAGCCTGAGCAAGTGTGAGACCCCCATCTCTACTATAAATAGAAAGAAATTAATTGGCCAACTAATATATATATATATAAATGAGCCGGGCATGGTGGCACATGCCTGTAGTCCCAGCTACTCGGGAGGCTGAGGCAGGAGGATCTCTTGAGCCCAGGAGATTGAGGTCGCTGTGAGCGAGGCTGACGCCACGGCACTCACTCTAGCCTGGGCAGCGAAGCGAGAGACTCTGTCTGAAAACAACAACAACAACAACAACAAAAAAGAACAACCTTTCAGTTCTTTTAACAGCCCTTTTTTTTTCTTAACATGAGATGTAGATGCAAAAAAATCGCCTCGTACCATGGGTGAGGCCTTAAGACTCTAAGGAGACCACAGAGGCGGCCGGGTAGGAGATGCTGGTGGCTTGCGCGGGTCCGGTTCAGGCTTACAGCCTGCATGCTTGAACACTGCCCAGGGCACCCTTGGGAAGGCTTCTGCGAGGAGGGGATATTTGGACAGAGAGACGCGAATGACAACAAGTCATTCTTGTCACCTGCCATTCCAAGAGCCGGGAGAAGAGGTTCCGGGTGGAGGCAGCGCTCCCAGGGTGGCCCGTCAGATTGGTAAGGAAAAGAGGGCTGGTTCCAAGTTGGAGCTGGATGGATCAGGGAAAACAAAGCGCGAGTAGAGTCCAACGACACAGTGGCCACTTGCTGCGGGCCCCAAAGCACTCCACCGGGCTACCCGGATTGTGGGGCGGAACTTCCCATTTTACTTCTCATGAATTAAAATTGAAATGTAAGAGACTGACACGCGAACTGAGCTCGTGGAAGACTTTGAAGTACGCTGGGAACGGCAGGAACATGTGAATCCACATTTTTTTTCAATTGCACACTGTATGAAACCCAAAAGGCCAAGGTCGGCTACTTCCGAGGAACATGCAGATTCACGAGCTCGACGACGGACGTGTCGTTCAGTGAAAGAATGCAAGATAATCTCATTTAGTATTTTTACATGCAGATCACACGTTGAAATAGTATTTCGGTTATATTGGATTAAATGCAACACTTTTTTATGTTTTTTCCACAGACAAGGGGTCTCGCTGTGTTGCCCAGGCTGGTCTCGATCTCCTGGCCTCAAGCGATCCTCTTGCCTCGATTTCCCAAAGTGTTGGGATTATAGGCGTGCGCCACTGTGCCCGGTCCAACATAATATTAAAATTAACTTCACTTGTTTGGTGTTTTCTTTTTTTTTTTTACGTTTTTTTTTAGAAAAAGTTGCTAAATTCCATTTTCTGCAGGCAAATAAAAGAAAAAAAAAGAAAAAGTTGCTAAAAAATGTAAAATGAGGTATGTGGCTCGCATTATTCTCCCCCTGGACAGCGCGGGTCGCCCGTGGGAGCGGAGGCCCGCTGGCATCTGTAGTCTTCCAGGCGGGGAGGGGGCCACGGCAGGCGTAGCGGGAGAGAAGCTTCTGGACGTATTATGCAGTCATGAGCCGCGTCAGTGAATCTGCACGGCAGACCCGGGACTCGAACCCGGGGCCACCCCTGAACTCGAACTCGCCTTTTCAACACTGCCCGCTCGAAACGTCCCCTGGGGCCCTCGAGGGGATTCGAACCGGGCCCAACTCCCGGGGTCCGGGCCCCAGCGCGCCGCGACGCCGCCGCTCTGCCTCCCCTCGGGAGCGAGCCAAACGTTCACAACGTTCACAACGGACTCCCCGGCCGCTGGGCCTCAGGGGCCAGTAGCCCCGCTCACGGGCTGACCCACGCCGAGGCCCCAAACGCTCCTACTTTCCCCCCACACACACTCCGCTCAACCGCGGCGGCCCCCGACTTCCGCTCCTCTCCCGCCAATCCCCAGCCGAGCCTTCCTCTGCTCCCGCCCCGCCGCTGACAACTCAGCCAATCAACTCTCAGAAAACCAGCTTTCTCCTTGCCCCACTCCCGCCTGCCAATCACTCCGGGCGCGAGCACCGCCCTTCCCGCCCTCTTCTGCGAGCGCCGCGCGCCACCGCTCGGCGGTTGGCGGCGCTGCCTACTGTGGGTCGCGTCTCCCCCCGGAAGGGCGGGGCCAGTGGGGGGGGCGGGCCACACCGGTGCGGGAACCCTCGTGATTGGTCAAGAGGAGCCCCGCGCTCTGGCTCCGCCCACTCCCGCCCTTGACATCTGAGTCGGAGACGCTGGGGATTGGTTCCCGGCGGACACACTAAGAAGCCTGGAGATAGTCCCGCCCCCCTCGCACGCCGCGGAGAGGGAGCTCCGCGAATTGGTCCGGGGAGTCTGGGCGCGCGCCGGCCGGCGCTCCAGGATTGGCTGAGGGGGTGCTCGCGCCGACCGAGAGCGTTTCCTGTGATTGGCCGGAGGGTGGGGCCGCTATTTGAAGGCGGCGCGCGGACGAGGTGCGCACTTCAGTCCGCGGAGAGAGAAGGAGAGAGCGGCTCGGGTCGGCTCTGCCCGCTGGCCGTCCCGCCCCTGCCCCCCGCACCGGACCCGGACACAGGCGCGGGCCCGGGCTCGGCCACCGCCACAGCGGCGGCCCGGCAAGGCGATGGCCAAGGTGTCAGTGCTGAACGTGGCGGTGCTGGAGAACCCGAGCCCGTTCCATAGCCCCTTCCGGTTCGAGATCAGCTTCGAGTGCAGTGAGGCCCTGGCGGACGGTGAGGCTGGACCTGTGCGGAGACCCCCACCCCCGGGCCGACCCCGGCCTTCCCCTGGAGAACCGCTCCCGCGGCCAACTTGATCTCCCCATAAACCCCCTCCGCCAACCCCGATCTCCCCGTGACCCCCCCACCCCCACGGCCAAACCGACCCCACCCCCACCCCGCCACCCGGACCTCCCCGTGACCTCCTCCTCCACTGTGTGCCCCGACCGCCCCGGGGAGACTTCCCCAACTACGGGAGCTCACCTTTCCGCCATGGAGACCTCATCATCTCTTTTTTCCTACGGAGCTACTCCTAGGCACCCGATTTCTATGGAGGGACCGCCCCAGCCTCCTGTCTTTAACCCGCGGAGACACTGCCACTTTGTCTTCCTGCGGATAGACCACCGTTTCAGCCCCGCACGTAGTTTCTCCCCTTTAGAGACTGCCCACCCATCCTCTCTCCCTTATGGTGAGACACTCCCACCTCCCTTTTTCCCTATAGACCCCAGGCCCCTCCTATTTTCCCCAGTGGGAACCCCAGCCCTCTCCCATTTTCCCTATGGAGACGTCTCCCCAAAGTTCCCCCCCCCTCTTTTTTTTTTTCTATATTAAGACTCCCGTTTGGCAAGACTGCTCTCACCCCCGAGTTCCCCATCTGTCTCCAACAATCCCCTCCCCAACCTGCTAATATTTAAACAGCTCCACCCCTATCGACTGCTGCTTGTTTTCCACCCCAATACGCATACCCTAGAACCTGACTTGCCCCCTTAGTTTTGCTTCAACTCCCTTTAAGCTTGCGCTCCCCCCTGGGGGAATACGGCCTGGCTTCTAGCTCTTGTCTTTGAGATTAACTTGGTCTTCCCAGCTCGTCTTCCCCTCTCCTCTGTGGGCTTGGACGAACACACTCAGACCTAAGGGGTGGCATAGCCAGGCGGGCATTAGCCAGTTTCCGTGGTTTGCCCACCAGTTTTCGGCTGACTTAACTGCATCAATTCTTGCATCGCTTTTGATGGCCCAACCTAGCGTGGAGTGGGCTGAGCTGTGACAAGATCCAGCTTCAAACAGTCAGCCAGGAGGTCACAGCCTTTTGTGCATCTTTTCCAAGGTGCTTCCGCAGATGTGCTTATTCATCTGTGCGATTTAAAGGTGGACATGGCTCTCATCTCACAGATGAGAAGACGGAGCCACAAAGCACAAAAGCCCTTTCAAGCAAAGGTCTTTACACATCTAAAATCTAAGGTCGCCTAGGGAGCCTTGGCACCGCTAAAAGGCAAGCCTTGCTTTCAGGAGGAAGTACTCCATTAAACCATTTTTCTACTTGTTGGTTAAAAGAGAAGAGGCTGCAGCTGAGGAGGTGGAGATCTGGGAGCCGGTGGGGCAGGGGTGTGCCTCTCACTAGCGCCTCTCAGTGGCAGGTGGCTGGTTTGCCTACAAAACCGATCCCTTGGATTAACTTGAGGCTGATACACTGCGATGTGTATGCGCTTTGGGCGGGCCAGTGGGTCAGTGTCTCCCTGGTTTCTCGCACTTTTCTAATTAAAGAGTTTACTCGTGGCTAACTATAGAACATACCAAGTTAAATCCTTTCTGGAATAGGGCAGGGTGTAAATAAATAAATAAAGTGTAGAATGACACTGTGGAATAAGATTTAATTTAAAAGCCAGGAGGAGATGTAAGGAGCTAATAGATTGAAGGATTCACAGTTCCCAGATGGCAGGAGATCAGGTTTCAATCAGCCTGTTTGTGCTCCTTGCATTTAAAAATGGTTGCATGGTCATTATGTAGTGCCTTTATTCCTAGGAAGCCCGTGCCCAATGACTTTTCTAACTTATTTATAGAATTAGAGCAGGAAAGACTAACTCAGCTTGCTGGTCTATTTTTTTTTTTTTTTAAAGACAGGAAAAAAAACAAGGGCCCAATAACATCCACGCCTGTAATTAGCGCACACACACAAGACGACAGATTTGCTCGAGTCAGAGAGAAACCAGCCTGACAAACCAGACGCCGTCTCACTTAATAGAAAGAAACTAAACTGGAACTATATAATAGAAAAAATTAGCCGGCATGGTGGCGTACACTGTAGTCCAGCTACCTCAAGGCTGAGGCCACGAGGATTGCTTGAGCCAGAGTTGAGGTTCTGTGAGGAGGACATGCACACTCCTTCCTGCCGCAATCGTCTCAAAAAAAAAGAGAGAGAGATTGTGGTGTATGGTGCATGGAATACGCTCACTGCAGCCTCAAACTCCTGGGCTAAAGCATTTCTCTTGGCTCCATAGCTCAGGGGTTAGAGCACTGGTCTTGTAAAGCATTTCTCTTGCCTCAGCCTCCCAAGAAGATGGGACTATAAGCGCCTGCCACCATGCCTGGCTAATTTTTATTTTTTGTAGAGATGGGGTCTCACTAAATTGCCCAGGGTGGTCTGGAACTCCTGACCCCGATTGATCATCTTGCCTTGGCCTCCCAAAGTGCTGGGATTACAGGTGTGAGCCACCTCGCCTGCTGGTTATTTTTTGATAGAAATGGAATGGCGTCTCCAAGGTCACACAGCCTTGTAGAGATGTTGGTCCTGTAGTTCTGAGTCCATGTTCTTTATCTTAGCTCCAATCCTGGGAAAGAAAGCATTCCCTATTTTAAGGGAAGTGTATAGATGGAATGAAAAAAGAATTTGTTGGAAAATGAGGGCACTCTCAAAACACATCATAGGGGAGTGCTATTAATTAATTAAGCCTGGACAATAAACTTGTCCTATGAGAAACTCAAGTGGGAAATCCAGATTCTTTGCTTCCCTTGTAGGGTCTCTGTGACTCTGACTGGCCAACTTACTTTCTCTCTCTTTCTTGTGTTCTTTCCACGAAGTAGAGAGAATCTGGTTCCTGCCTCCCTCTCGCCCTATCAACTGAAAATCTAAGGGCTCCAAGCTCCTTTTGCGCTTTTCTCCTCAACATCTGGAAGTAGATGCTTCCAAGGCATAGGCCCACATTTGGTACATTAGGTGTGTTTTTTCTCCCCGTTTAGTTGAGGAGAGTTGACACAGACTTCTTGAAGAAGTCATAGAAGCCGGGTGTTCTGACCCAGGGCTAGCATGCAGTAGTTACGACAACAGGGTCTTCTGTGTGACTATGAACAAAAGCAAACTGATAAACAGAAAAAAGGGCCACTAGATAAGTTTTTTAAAAAGGCAGGAAACAAACTCTCCAGCTAGTTCCACTATAGTGATTTTTTACATGTCTTTAATCATATTGGTTTGGGATTTTGCTTAAACATATAGTGGAGATGTGTGGGGTTTTTGTTTTTTGGGGGGAGGGGTTGAGACAGGGTCTCACTCTGTTGCCTGCGGTGGTGTCCTCATAGCTCAGTCACTGCAACCTTGAACTCTTTTTTTTTTTTTTTTTTTTTGAGACAGAGTCTCGCTTTGTTGCCCAGGCTAGAGTGAGTGCCATGGCGTCAGCCTCGCTCACAGCAACCTCAAACTCCTGGGCTCAAGCAATCCTCCTGCCTCAGCCTCCCGAGTAGCTGGGACTACAGCCATGCGCCACCATGCCCGGCTCATTTTTTTCTGTATATATTAGTTGGCCAATTAATTTCTTTCTATTTATAGTAGAGACGGGGTCCGGCTCTTGCTCAGGCTGGTTTTGAACTCCTGACCTTGAGCAATCCACCCGCTTCGGCCTCCCAGAGTGCTAGGATTACAGGCGTGAGCCACCGTGTCCGGCCCAACCTTGAACTCTTGAGCTCAAGAGATCCTCCTATCTTAGCCTCCTGAGTAGCTGGGACTACAGGCATGTGATGCCACACCCAGCTAATTTTTAATTTTTTATAGAGACAGGGTCTTTTTATTTATTTATTTATTTTTTTGAGACAGTCTCGCTTTGTTGCCTGGGCTAGAGTGAGTGCCGTGGCGTCAGCCTCGCTCACAGCAACCTCAAACTCTTATACAGGGTTAGCTCGTGAAGTTAGGGCATAAAGATAAATGCAATGCAATGGAGTTACCCTTGACATTGCTCAGAAGGTTGGGTATACATGTTACATGTGTACAATTGTATCCTGTATTTGGTAGGTATGAGTTTGTACTGTGTTGATGATTGATAATCCCACATCTAATTTGAAAGAAAGGTTATATTCAGAAATGAACTCACTTAAGTTTGTGCTTAAAAATCACTTCAACAAATTTAAGATGATTCGAATTTGTAGGCCCTTATTTCGATCATCTTTTGTCTTCCATAGATGGTTTTTATCAGCTCTACTAACTTGATCAGTATCTCTCTATGACCCTTAGTTAAATTCTCCAGTTTCTATAATTCTGGCCATGGCAGCCCTTGCAGTATGTTTTCTGTTTTTGTCAGCATCTGCACACTGTTTAGGTTTTGCCAAGAAGTATTAACCTGGGCTAGACAACATCAAGAACTTGTGGGTACACTGAGGCCTGGGCTATTTCAGTCTCCTGTGTCTGCCCCTCCCCCCCTTTGCATTAATTAATTAAATGCACCCGTAGGGGACTCCACTGGTTATAAGGAAAAAGCCCTGAAGGAAATCTACCAAAACGGTGAGCTGCATTGGAAAAACAAAGCTAGCTTGTTTTTCTGTTCTTCCAAAAAATTTGATTCTAGTTGCATCACTACTTGTAACAAAAATAAATCAACTTTTTCCCTTTGCAAATAATACGAGGCTGGGGTTTGAATCCCAGTTAGCCAAAGGGTCCCCTGCAACCCAGCTGCTAGGGTTCCTGAGTAGAAGGGCCTGGGTGAAACTGCAAAGGGACAGGAAGTGGGTACATTGAAGGAGGGCTCGGCTCAGGTGGCAAGTCTCTGGCCCGGCGCGTGTATGCTTCCAAAGCTGGATGCTCTTGTGGGACACGGGACCAAGGAACAGGGCAGCTTCCGAGAGAGTTTGCTTCCTGTGAAATCATAGCTTGTGAAACTTCCCCCAGCTGCTAGAGCTGAAGGGTTGTGTAATTTCTGAAGATCCTAAAATAAGTTTCAGGTCTCTTGCCAAGCCTCCCTGTACTAGCATGACCTTGCCTCTGATACACTTGGACCTCCTGCAAGAGGCAGTGGTCACTGGGAATTTCCTGTGCTTGATTGGCAGGGTCTCCGTGAGCACTTTTCCCTTAATCTCGCGGGAGCATGCCCAGGGGGCGGGGCTCCCACTACTGGATGGGATGCAAGAGAGTTAGGGTTCGAAGGATCACCCTGTAATGCCACATTTGTTGACTCTGTCCCTGTCACCCGAATGTCCATAAGTAGGCATGGCTTGTGCCGGATCTGGAAGACCAGGAAACTGCGGGCTCCCCCACCGGCCTTGCCTTCCCTCCCCCCGGCTGGCTCTCCTGCCAGATTGGAATCTGCTGCCCTGGCCCAGTTGTCGAGGGATCTACTCCGTTCAGTGGCACCAGTCCCTGTGTGTGAAAGAGGATGCTGCTTCCTATCTCAGCACCCAGTGGGCAGAGCCCCGAAATGGCCCAACTCCCTGCCATGCCCTCCTCGGCAGGCCAGGCTCACGTGGTTTGGTGTTTTTTTTTTTTTTTTTCTGAGACAGAGTCTCACTCTTTTGCCCGAGCTAGAGTGCCATGGCGTCAGCCTCACTCATAGCAACCTCAAACTCCTGGGCTCAAGCGATCCTCCTGCCTCAGCCTCCCGAGTAGCTGGGACTACAGGCACGTGCCACCATGCCCGGCTAATTTTTTCTATATATTTTTATTTGGCCAATTTCTTTCTGTTTTTAGTAGAGACGGGTTCTTGCTCTTGCTCAGGCTGGTCTTGAACTCCTGAGCTCAAATGATCCGCCAGCCTTGGCCTCCCAGAGTGCGAGGATTACAGGCGTGAGCCACCGTGCCTGGGCGAAGCCTGGGGTCACGTGGTTCTTAATTCAGCTTCTGCCACACAGTTCACTCTCAGGCTCTGAGAGGCCCAAGTTTCCCCTCAGAGGTACAAAGTCAAGGTCACCTGTCAAGCTAGGCCCACAGCAGAAATTTCTGTAATGGAAGCAGAGCTTCATGCCCAACCCAAGCTTCGGGACTGGCACCTGGCACTTGGTACCCCGAGGAAGTCAGGCATTCTTGGGAATACAGATCTTTTGATATGTTAAGGATCTGTCCAAAATTAATGTGACAAAACCCTTTCCCTGCCTTCTTCCGTCAAGCTATTTTAATTTCTTTTTTTTTTTGAGGCAGAGTTGTTGTCTGAACTAGAGTGCCGTGGTGGTGTCAGCCTAGCTCACAGCAACCTCCAACTCCTGGGCCCAAGCGATCCTCCTGCCTCGGCCTCCCGAGTAGCTGGGACTACAGGCATGCGCCACCATGCCCGGCTAGTTTATATATATATATATATCTATCTATCTTTTTTTTTTTTTAGTTGTCCAGCTAATTTCTTTCTATTTTCTGTTTCTGGTAGAGATGGGCTCTCGCTCTTGCTCAGGGTGGTCTCCAAATCCTGAGCTCAAACAATCCTCCCACCTCGGCCTCCCAGAGTGCTAGGATTACAGACGTGAGCCGCGGCCCAGTCTATTGTAATTTCTTAACCCTTCTCCTCCTGTGTCCTTGCAGACCTAGAGTGGAAGATCATTTACGTCGGCTCAGCTGAGAGTGAGGAGTTCGATCAGATCCTGGACTCGGTGCTGGTCGGCCCTGTCCCTGCAGGGAGACACATGTTTGTGTTTCAGGTAAGAAAGATGAGGCCTGAGGCCTTAGCCCTTGGTTCCTGGACACATCCTTCCTACCCAAAAGTACACAGTGGGGTTCAGGAGTCAGCACTGCAGGTTCAAATCCCAGCTCTACTCTCAGGAGCGCTCTCACCTCTCGGAGGCCCTTTATTTATTTTTTTTGAGACAGAGTCTCGCTTTGTTGCCCAGGCTAGAGTGAGTGCCGTGGCGTCAGCCTCGCTCACAGTAACCTCAGACTCCTGGGCTCAGGCCATCCTCCTGCCTCAGCCTCCCGAGTAGCTGGGACTACAGGCATGCGCCACCATGCCTGGTGAATTTTTTCTGTATATATTAGTTGGCCAATTAATTTCTTTGTATTTATAGTAGAGACGGGGTCTCGCTCTTGCTCAGGCTGGTTTTGAACTCCTGACCTCAAGCAATCCACCTGCCTCCGGCCTCCCAGAGTGCTAGGATTACAGGTGTGAGCCACCGCGCCCGGCTCAGAGGCCCTTTAGACACTTCCCTCCCCACCTCTGTGTCAAAGCTGTTCCCGTGAGCCAGTGATTTACAATCGATTCTCCTTATTCTCGGGAGTTATGTTCCATGAAGTTGTTGTGAACGCTGAATTAGCAAATACTGAACCGCTGCCCCTAGGGGAAACACGGGGGTAGGTGCTTGAAAGTCACAATGGGCTTTGTTTTTTTATTTTTGTTTTTGTTTTTTTTTAAGGCAGAGTATCACTCTGTTGCCCAGGCTAGAGTGCCGTGGCGTCAGCCTAGCTCACAGCTAAATCCTGGGCTCAAGTGATCCTCCTGCCTCAGCCTCCCAAGTAGCTGGGACTACAGGCATGCGCCACCATGCCCGGCTAATTTTTTCTATATATATATTTAGTTGTCCAGCTAATTTCTTTCTATTTTTAGTAGAGATAGGAGTCTCACTCTTGCTCAGGCTGGTCTTGAACTCCTGAGCTCAAACCATCCACCCACCTCTGCCTCCCAGAGTGCTAGGATTATAGGTGTGAGCCACCACGCCTGGCCCACAATTGTTTTTTGTCAACCAATCCATACATAAACTTGCCTCATGTGTGCTTCTGTTTAAAGATAACCTTATTTACTACATACCGTGGATTCCTTCATATTAAACCCACAGCCGATAGCACCGTAACTCACGCCTGAACCAAGCTTCTGCAACATGAATTTTCTCTGCACCTTCTCACAGCCTAGACAGCACTTCAGCACTACTCCTGGGGGCCATTGTAGATAGCAAACTCGCCAACAAAAAGCACAAAATGTGCAAAAAGCATGGCACTAAGGAGACTACAAAAAGGAGGCTTGTTCACAGTATGAGAGCTGAAGTGGGAAGACAGAACGTTTCCTTGTTTGACCTCAGGTGGGAACACGCGCATTGAGTCACTCCAGTTTTTCCTGCTCTGTGCACATCTGCAAACGACCATGAAAGTGCCACAAGTATTGGTTTTAGGGTTACAAATAAATTGTCTGGGCCCAGTTGCTCATGTCTATATCCCAGCACTCTGGGAGGATCATTTGAGTCTAGGAGTTCAAGACCAGCCTGGCCAACACAGTGAGACTTTGTTTGTATAAGAAAAGTTAGCCGGGTATGGTGGCGCACACCTGTAGTCCCAGGTACTCAGAGGGCTGAGGCAGAGGATCACTGAGCCCAGGAGTTCAAGGCTGCAGTGAGCTATCATCGGGTCGCTGCACTCCAGCCTGGGCGACAGAGTGAGACCTTGTCTCAAAAAACAAAAAGCGAGTAGGCGGTTTCACAAGTACAGACTCTGCGAGTAGTGACGGGGGCACTGTAACTCTAAATGGCTCTCTAATGTCGCATCACCTGGGCTGTCAGAAACGTGGATTCAGAGCTCTTTAGGTGACCCTTACGCACACTAAATTGTGAAAGCTTCCGCTCAGATCCACTCACTTCGCTCCATCTCTGCTGTTAGTGTCCTGACCCAAGCTACCGCATCCCACCTAACCCCCTCACCCACCACTGTTGGATCCTCCAGCAAGCCCCGTCTACGCAGCAGTCGCGGCCAGCGTCCTGGGTGCACAACTTGGCGGCTGCACAGGGCTCCGTGCTTGGCTTGATGCTCTTCTGTCACCAACTGAAACTTGATGGCTTTTGAACCGGGGGAGGCTCTTTGCTTTCACCTGCGTAGCCCGTGCTGTGATAGCAGCGCACACCTGACCCCGTCCCAGCTGGCCTGGTGACTGCCCACCTGGTCAGCCTCATCTTATGCCGCTTTGCCCTTGCTCCCCAAACTCCTGAGCACCGCACCCCTCTTCCTGCCACATTCAACATGGCATTGTGGGATTGGTGCCGTCTTCCGCATTCACCTGAAAACTCCGGAGGGCAGAGGGTGTACGTTTTGCTCAGTAACTACACGTTGCTTGGGAATCTTTGTACTCCTATGTGGCGATGTGGCCGTAGCTGTGCTAAGGCCCCGGATGTGTCTCCCCTAGGCTGACGCCCCCAACCCAGCCCTCATCCCGGAGACCGACGCCGTGGGTGTGACCGTGGTCCTCATCACCTGCACCTACCACGGACAGGAGTTCATCCGAGTGGGCTACTACGTCAACAACGAGTACCCCAACCCCGAGCTGCGGGAGAACCCACCCCCAAAGCCAGACTTCTCTCAGGTAGGGCCCGATCGCTTCACGTCCTGCTTCAAGCGGGCCGGTTCCTTTGCACTTGGGGGAGTCGGACCACTGGGAGACCAAGGTCACTTCTTAAAGTTTCCAAGTACTGCCCAGTTCTTACAGTGCAGCGTTAGACCAGGAGAGAGAAAGGTCTTTGTTTCCGAGAGGCACACTTGCAGAATTAAGATTAGATAGGGGCCGGGCACGGTGGCTCACGCCTGTAAATCCTAGCACTTTGGGAAGCCGAGGCGGGAGGATTGTTTGAGCTCAGGAGTTCAAGACCAACCTGAGCAAGAGCAAGACCCTGGCTCTGTAAAAAAAATAGAAAAAAGTAGCCAGGTGTGATGGCTCTTGCCTATAGTCCCAGCTACTCAGGAGGCTGAGGCAGGAGGATCTCTTGAGTCCAGGAGTTTGAGGCTGCAGTGAGCTGTGATGATGCCATGGCACTGCAGCTGGGCAACAGAGTGAGACCCTGTCTCAAAAAAAAGGAAAAAGATAGGGACTGGCCCTAGTCACAGCGCGCAGACATTCTCTGGCATTCGGCACACTGTTGGTGGTGGCGATGGAGTGAGATCCGCTCTTTCTGGGCTTGCGGTGGGGGCGTGGGGGAGTCCTGGCTCTGCAGGAGCAATGAGAGAGCGTGTTGACAAGGCTCATTATTCCTCTTTCCGCCCCAGCTCCAGCGGAACATCTTGGCCTCCAACCCCCGAGTAACTCGCTTTCACATCAACTGGGACAGCAACACGGACAGGCTGGAGGCCCCAGAGAACCAGGACCCCGCCCTGGGCTGCGGCCTCCCCCTCAGCTACACTCCTATCAAGGGCCTGGGCCTCCCTGGCTACATCCCCGGCCTCCTCCCTGAGAACTCCATGGACTGCATGTGACTGCAGACGCCCAGGACCTCCCCGCACACCTGGAGGGGGTGACCAGGCCTCCCAGAGACGGTGCGGGGCCATCTAGAGGACTCGGGGGCCATCAACTGCACCCAGGCCTGTCAAACTTGGCCGGAAAGAACAGGCCTCAGGTCTGCCCCAGCTGCAGCCCAGAAGGCCATCTCACTTCTACTGCACAGGCCTATAAGAAGCAGGGACTTCAGTTCTTACTAATTTCTTCTGACTTGTGTCCTTTTTCTCTTCCACACACACTATGAATTCCATCTGCAGGCCACTGTGGTCCTGTGAGGACCACCGACCCAGAGTTCTTCCCATAGGCCTCCCTGGCCTGCCTTGGTCTGCCCCAGCTACAGCCCAGAAGGCTTTCTTGGTCAGCGGCCGTCAAGGCTCTGGCCCTGTTGGGCAAGGGCCACGTCATTACTTTCTCTTTGCAGACATCTGAGCGGACCCACCCGAGCTTTCTGTTGTCACAGGCAAGGGGTTCTGGGTGGTAGGTGGACTTCGATGCAATTTGGGTCCTCCTCCCAGGAGGATTTTTAGGTCTTTCTATCTGGCAGCCCCTGGAAAACTCTGCTCCCAAAGGTGTGATCAGCCTGATGCTGAGGGACCATTGGGTGCCCCTCCTGAGTCACGGCCACCTTCCTGTTCCCACCTCACTGCAGCTGGCTTTCCCAGAAGCTGCCGTGGTGGGGAGGCGGTGTGTCAGGGCCTGCCATGCTCGGTCCATGTCAGCGTCGGCATCAGGGCCCTCTGCCAAGACCATGTGGGCTCACAGGCCACCGAGTGGTTTCAGGCAAGGGGAGCAATCGGTACTCTGAAAACCTTCCCTCCCCGATGTCCTCCCCACTCTGTGTCCCGGTCCCCTCACTGCTACGTGGATGCTGTTGTGATTGCAGTTTGTATAGGAAAGGATTTTTATATTAAAAATGTTTGGTTGGTCTAAAAATAAAAAGCACTTCATCTATACTGGCTGTTTCTGCTTTTTTCTCAGGTGGGCTGAGATGGCTTTGCATATCTCTCCTTGTAACATGGGGGTGGCCCCTTGCCCCATCCAGTGGGTTGGCTTTTGTCCCCTTGTGGAGCTTCTTACTCCAGTCTCAGTTGTACAGTTGTATTCCAGATTGAGGTTCAGAGAGGGGTTTTCCTTTGCCAAAACTTAAGCAAGCCAGCTATTCTGTAGATCGATCATAACCAATGATTTTTCAGACTTTGACCTTGACCCATAGGAAGAAATTAACATTGTGATCCAAGTACACACACACAATGCTCTTGTAATATTAAATTTTACTTTACTATATAACCCCACAGAAGGTCCCTGACTCTCCCTTTCTGAGAGTGTGGTTGACCTAGGAACATGGGTGCAGATAGCTGCTAGGTGGGGTACAGGTTGTGCCACTCTAAGTAGAGCAGTGAATTAGCTTGTGGTTCTGAGCCCAGCTGGCCCTTGGGCAGCAGGAAGAGCTGGCTCCTCTGGTCCCTGGCCCTCTTGGCACCTTGTTTGGGCCTTCCTCTACTCCAGTGGTTCTCAACTTGTGGTCAATTTTGCCCTATATGAAAGTGGTTTTGGTTGTCACAGCTAGCAGGAGACAGAGGTGTCACTGACATCCAGTGGGTAGAGGCTGAGGGTGCTGTTGAACACCCTAGGGTGCACAAAACAGCTCCCCCAGCAAAGAATGATCCCGCCCCAAACATCAGTAGTGCAGTAGTTGCTAAACCCTGGCTGTCCTCATGCTACCTATGTATTGAAAGAGTACCCTGATGGAAGGGGCATCTGGCCCCTTCTCTGCTCCCTGAGGGCAGGGTCCCTTTGCATTGCCCAGAAAGGGAATCAGCCTGGCTATCCCCCACACCCCTCATCTGCAGAATGGGTGTGGTGATGATAGTACCTACGTGATGGGAGTGCAGTGCGAAGTAACGTTAAGGGAGTGCCAGCTCTCACTGCCCGCAGGCGCCCGGGTTGGGGCCGGGCAAAAGAGTGGACACAGCGCCCGCTCCCGCCACCCCTTGCTCCTAGGGCCCAGCATCCTGAAGCTTTGCCTGTGGCCAGGGGGAACCCAGGAGGGCCTCCAACCTGAACCCCAGGCAAGCCTGGCCACTTGGCCTGGGCGCTGCTGCCCAGAGTCAGGCCTTATGAATGACGACGGCCGCCGGCCTGGCGACCTCTGACCCGCGGCGCTGGCCGCGCCCCTCCCCCGCTGGCAGGTGGACAGAGGCTGCGCCGGGAGGGTCACGGCGCCAACCGCGGCTGGCCGACAGCCGCTGCCGCACTGGGCGGGGGCAGAGGACTGCGGCGCGCACGGGGCCGGCCGGCCTGCCGCCGGAGCGGCCTCCTGGGCCTTGGAGCGCCCGCGGCCGCCCGCCAGCCTCCGCCGCCCCGCCCCGCCGGCCTGGGCCCGCAGACTGCGCCTCTGCCCCGCCCCCTCACCCCCGGATTGACACTGTACGGTCTGCTGGGGGCCGGCCGGACACCGCGTCTCCTCCAATCACCAGCCTCTCTGGGCGGACCCTGGGCCCTGTGGGGCGCTCCGACCAATCAGACGAGTCTGCCCACCCATCTGGGACCTTGCGAGAGCGTGAGTGGCTGGGCGTCTGCGGCGCGTCACAGTGCCGTGAGCCTATGACAAAGCGGGAGGGTCGCGGAGAGCCAATGGGCGGCGGCGCCGAGCCGTCAGTCAGGGCGGTCTAAGCCAATCAGTGGCGAGCTGCGGGGGCGTCACGGGCAGCAGCAGCGGACTTGGGCTGAGGTTCCCGGGCGGGCGGGCGCGGAGAGACGCGGGAAGCAGGGGCTGGGCGGGGGTCGCGGCGCCGCAGCTAGCGCAGCCAGCCCGAGGGGCCGCCGCCGCGACCGCCCAGCGCGCTCCGGGGCCGCCTCAGCACCCGCCGCGCCGCAAGCTCGCGCGGGATCGTCCCTGGCCGTCCCGCCGCTCGCGATGGGGCAACGCCGCCGCCGTCCTTCATAATTGAAGGGCAGCTTAGCAGAGGAGGAGCGGTAGTGCGCGCGCCGTGGACCCGATCCTGGCCCCGCGCTGCCACGCCTCGCTCCTCCTTTCTCTGTCCATCCCAACTTGGCCCTCCCCACGGCGCCCCCCATTCTCATTGCTTACCCCCAGCGCCCCTTGGGCCCCTGCCTGTCTAGGTTCTGGGGCTGGGACCCGGGCCCTGCAAAGGACCCTGTGTAGGGCCTCCTGCTGCTGTGCCGTCCGCACTGCAAAGCTCTGTGTGTGCCCCCAGCTGTGCACTACCAACGGGCACGGATGGACCTGGCTTGGGGCCCAGTTGTCACTTACCCCATCCTCTCCTCCTTTCCCTGTCCCCTTCTCTGCCCACGATACTACTCTCCCTACCTCTCTCAGCTGTCCTCTGCCATCACTATGGCGACTCATCTTGCCTGACCTCCAACCCTGGTTTCTGCCAGCTTTGCGGAGTGCATGTTGGGGTCCTGTTCTTCTGCAACCGCCAGGGAGCTTGACATTTTTGTGGGATCCTACACCCGCTCCCCCATCCGAGCCCACAGTTCACTCTCAGGCTCTGAGAGGCCCAAGTTTCCCCTCAGAGGTACAAAGTCAAGGTCACCTGTCAAGCTAGGCCCACAGCAGAAATTTCTGTAATGGAAGCAGAGCTTCATGCCCAACCCAAGCTTCGGGACTGGCACCTGGCACTTGGTACCCCGAGGAAGTCAGGCATTCTTGGGAATACAGATCTTTTGATATGTTAAGGATCTGTCCAAAATTAATGTGACAAAACCCTTTCCCTGCCTTCTTCCGTCAAGCTATTTTAATTTCTTTTTTTTTTTTGAGGCAGAGTTGTTGTCTGAACTAGAGTGCCGTGGTGGTGTCAGCCTAGCTCACAGCAACCTCCAACTCCTGGGCCCCAGCTAGCGCAGCAGGCCCGAGGGGCCGCCGCCGCGACCGCCCA